TGGGAGGGCATCCAGAAGCATCTGCAAAAATTACTGAGGACTGGAATAAGAAATTATCCCAAGCCCTGGTGACCTGGTATGGGTGAGGAACTGGACTTTGACCCTGCCAAAACCCAAGTGATGAGAACAGCTGCCTGTCATCCTGACCACCCCCACAGCAGCCAAGGTAAAAGGAGTTCCCCCCACCCCACCACCCCGGATTCACCACAGCAGACTGAAGAAAGCCTCATCTTCATGGGAAGCTGAAACTGACCCTTCCAAACTTTGTAAAGTAACATTGAGATGTACGACCTGCCCTGCCTCAGCCACAAACCAGCAGCTGTCTGATCTACGCACGGCCGAAGTATGAGGATGTCTGCCATGGGACTCATCTTAATTAGACTTTGGGGTGTGGAAAAAGGAAAAAAATTGGTATAATCTATATAACCACACCACCACGGTGGACTGAACAGTAACCACCATACTACTCTTCTATTGTTGTTGTTAAGTACCGTGGAGTCGGTTCTGACTCATAGTGACCCTGCACAGGGTTTCCAAGGCTGTAAATCTTTACAGGAGCAGAAAGCCTCCACTTTCTCCTGTGGAGCGGCTGGTAGTTTCGAACTGCCGACCTTGAGGTTAGCAGCCCGATTCATAACCACTATGCTACCAGAGCTCCTTCTATAGTTAGTAGAAATGTAAGGGCACCCTCCTAGCTAACTAGTCAATGAAGCTGGGAGAGCCTTAACCCTCTTAGCTCAGCAACAAACTCAACTCAGAAATGCAGTTTATCAAAACAGACTAGCCCTAGACTATTTATTAGCTCAAGAAAAGTGTGTATGTGTGTGTGTGAAACATTTAACCTGACAAACTGTTACTTATAAGAATGAGCCATTGAGAACATTGTGAAAAAGATGCAAAAAACTAACTCATGCTCCTGTGTGAACTTGGCACTGATGGAGTCCAGAATCATTATGGGCAGGCGGGTTCTCAGCATTGGAGGATTCAAAACTCTGGTGGGAGGATTTCTGATCATAGGGGGATGTCTGCTCATTCCATGCCTCCTTTCACTGGCTATCAAAACACTAAAATGCATAGTTGAAGCCAGGGTAGAAAAGAAAATTACTTCCCGCATACTCTAGCAACATACCTATCAGCCCGTGCCCACTGACCTAAAAAGTATCATCCAGAAAAGTGAGGCCCACTAGTTCGCTATCTAGCTACCTGGGTCTCAAAGGGGGGAATGAGGCAGGTAGGCCTTTGGCAATAGGCACTGGTCCCCCATGTCCCCCAGGCTCATAGCTCATTCCTGGTGCAAGATTCACATTCCAGGAAATAAGCAACCTCAGCCTCATGTGATCACCCAAGCTAATCGCCTGTTCCTGACCCACTTCTGGGAGGGAACAGAGCCCCGACGTAATGTTCACCTGCTTCCGTTTCTGTAACTGTTTGCTTGTACGCTCACACATCCTTCCCTGCCATATGTTTGAACCAACCAATCCCAGGTAGCCCCATGAAGCTGTTGGCCCTCACTTGTTGTTGTTGTTGTCAGGTGCCAGCTAACCAGTCCCAAATGAGCTCATGTATACACCTCCTATTCCCTATAAAATATCCTCACACAGAGAAGACGGGGATCAGCCTCTGGATAAGAATCCACTGAGCCACATGCTAGCACAATAAAGCCCTTCCTTTGTTACAACCCGCATGGCGGTGGCAGCTCCTTCAGAGCGACTCCGGTAACAATCCCACACAGCTGATTTGTTTGTGGCACATCATGGTTTTGACTATTCTTTTCAGCTTAGCTCCCAACCTCAATGGACTTTCTTGAGGGTGTCAGGTTTTTTAGTCCAATATCAGAATTTGCTGGACTATGGCATTCAGTCACAAGGGGGCTGGGTAGAGTGGAATGACGGAGTGGAGTAACCATCATTTATTTCGCAGCAACTGCAAAAAAAATGAGTACCAAATCATCCCTCCCACACTACTGCCTACCCAGCTATGTTTACTAATTCATTGCAATGGCTACACAGAATTCTGACATCATACTCACAATTACAGGGTTTGTTAGGGAAGTTAACAGGCAACAACAATGCAGAATCAAATACGTTCAGAGCACAGCTCTTTCTACTCAGGATAGCCTCTCAACATCCTGTCTACAGGCAGGCCTCTTTGTGCCTGGGCAACATTGTTGTTATTAAGTACCATCTAAGGAGCTCTGGTAGCGTAGTGGTTACGAATCGGGCTGCGAACCTTAAGGTCAGCGGTTCGAAACTACCAGCCGCTCCGCGGGAGAAAGATGAGGCTTTCTACTCCCGTAAAGATTTACACCCTCGGAAACCCTGTACAGGGTCGCTATGGGTCGGACCCGACTCGATGGCACTTAACAACAACAACAACAAGTTAGTTCTGACTCAAAGCAACACTGTATAGGGTTTCTGAGGAGTGGCTGGTGAGTTTAAATCACCCACTTTGAGGTTCAAACTGACTTTGTGGTTCAGTGCTTGTCCTACAGCACCACACCAGGACTACATAGTTCTTTTATGACTGCTGAAAATTCTCACAGAACATACTATTACATTGTAAGCCTCAGCTTAAAGTCACTTGGCTTTAAATCCAGGGGCCTGCAGATCTACCTCCTCCAATTAAGTGCCTGGAGGCATCCTACACTACAAACAAGCCTACTGCCCAAAGCCATTCAGTTACCCATTTTCCTTGGGTTGACAAGCCCACTGCTGTCTCATGCTCTGGCTCTTGATTCTTCTGTTGCTTCTGTGACACTTCCAGTGTCACAGTTTTCTGTCCCTGGGTTAAGGAGGTTAAATGCACAAGGATCTAGGGATAAAAAGGACATGCACCACTCTTTGCGCTTCTTTGTGAGATTCCCCTCTCCTGCTTTTCAGACGGCTCATTTTTAACTCAGCAGGATGGTAACATTGACCAATCTCCTCATTAAATTTCCAACTGTTTACAATCACAATCCTGTTAACAAGTGAATCATATAATCCATCGCATCTCCCCCCACCTTCTCTTACTCAAACCTATCAGCAAAAAGTCATTTGGTGGGCGTTAACAAAGAGTAAGGCTAGAAGATACATTAAATAATTCATCACTCCATAGTATCTAAGCTGTAAATGTTAGATACTATGAAATGAAACGATGCTGCTTCTTTGGTTTTGGTAGAAGTTCATGATGGTCAGTCTTTCCCATTGTTGTTGTTAAGTACCGTGGAGTGGGTTAAGTACCGTGGAGTGGGCTCCAACTCACAGTGACCCTGCACAGGGTTTCCGAGGCTGTAAATCTTTACGGGAGCAGAATACCTCATCTTTCTCCCGTGGAACCGCTGGTAGGTTCGAACTGCTACCAGAACTCCTTAGTCTTTCCCATAAGAAGCTCTTATTTGTCAGGTAAAGATTGACATCTATAACTTAGTATGCACCTACCTCCTCAGTGTTTGTCAATAAGGAACGTAATGAACACATATAATCAGTATTATAAATCAATTTAGGCAAAGTTCATCCTGTGGTAACAAATGACTCCCTAAATCTCACTAGTTTATAACACACTTATTTTGCTCATGTTCACAGCCAATGCTATCTGTCTTGACTCTGCTGTACTCAGTTTTCTCATTCTGGAACCCAAACTGAAGAAAACCCCTTCTCTGGGACATGCTGCAGTCCTGGTAGAAGGAAAAGAGAAATATGGCAGAACTGTGCAATGATTCTTACAGCTTATGTTTAGAAAGTGGCTTACATTACTTCTGTTCACATGTCATTGGCCAAAGCAAATCACATAGCCATATGTGATGCCAATATGGAGGGAGGCTACACTTTGTGAGGAGGTCCTGAAAAAACAGGCATGGAGAATATTTTGTACAAATAAACATTCTTCAATAGTTTATCATGGCCAGTATTATTGATCCCATATTCAAACTTGGGTCAGCCTAGCTTCAGAGTTGGGGCTTTCTATTATGCAGTCTCTTTGGAAGAACTCTGTGTATATGTGCAGATACTAGAATTGAAATTTATCTGGAAACAACCATTTCTCAACAGATGTTTCTCCATTAAAATTTCTAAAGCTGAACTCCCTTTGGAAACTTTCTAGAAGGATGTGAAGCCATGAAGGGGCCAGACTTGGGGAACTGCCCCCAGGAGAACTGGCTGCATTCCACTTAGTAATGTTTTTTTTTTTTTTTTTTTTAAACTGTTGTATTATTTATCTGCTTGCTGAATCTGTAGATCCTTCGGGTAGGAATCATACCACCTTTTGTTTTCTATTTTTATTTCCGTTTGCTTTTGTGTGTGAGTGGCTGTGCTCCTCAAAGCTAATTTTCCACATAGTTTGAGAAATCTAGATTGCACTGGATATATATGGTCACAAAGATTATAAACAGGGTGGAGAGAAAGTGGAACTCATTTACTTTTGTCAAAGGGTTTTTGATTGAGAAATTTATTTTACCCTTTGTGTATGTTGTGGGGCCAGAGGTGTATCCAGTCCAGAGACTCTTATGTTTGTAAATAATCTGTGGCTTTCTCTAGCCTTGGTGCAGCCTTACGTGTTTAAGAGCCTCTGGTTTCCAGGTGTGTGATGCTGTATGATATAACACAGGGTGGAGTCTGATTTGCCAGATTTATGTGGCGCTGTGAATTAATGCGCCAGACTGCAAAACCGTTTGAACTGCAAGGTCGGCGGTTCAAGCTCACCAGCCGCTCCTCGGAAACCCTATATAGGGTTGCTATGGATGGGAACCAACTCGATGGCACTTAACAACAACCACTACAAAGGGGAGAGGCAAGTGAGGAGCCTAGGGCGCATAATTTAAGGAAGTACTTGAACGAAGTTGGGAGTTAACCTACCTCACTCCAGTCCCAGCCCTGATGTCCATTGTGTGTTTACCAGAATTCTCTGGCTTGAAAAAGCTCTGGGCAAGCTTACCTGTGAGAATCGGTTGCCCTTACCTCCCCTACGACACGCAGGAGAAGCTGAGAGCTTCACAGCCCAGTACTTCATTCTGCCCTGGAGGCTGATTGTCAGATTACAGTGTGCGTGTGCCTGGCCCACGCTAGTGTGCGGAAGAGAAAGAAGGAGCATGCTCGAGTGTCGGTGTTGGGTCGGGCGGGTCCATATCCGGGTGGACTGGGTGGGTGGGGTTGCCCCTCCCTCCAGGTCCCGAGGTGGTTTGAGGTTGTGGAGTGACGTGCGGAGATTCCCATCTCGCACCTCCACACCCGTGAGAGGGCGGCACAGGGAACTAGAGAGTTGACCCGGCGTGCATTTAGGGCGTTTCCACCAGTGGATCTGCGCTTGGGAGTGCCCCTCGCCCTCCGGTTTGAGCGGCCGCAAGGATCCGAATAAAGAAGAGCAGGAACCCGAGCTGGGCGCGCGGAGCTGGCCACCCGCTCCGAACTTGCCGGGCAAACTAGTGCGGAGGGAGGGGCCGTGATTGTGGCCTGGGCCGTGGCTGGAGGAGGGGCGGCTGCAGCTACTTCCAGCCCCCTTGGCTTCCTTCCCAGCTCTCTCCTTCACCTCCTCCTCCTCTTCCTCTTGTATGAGTCAGGCATTTCCCCGGGATTTAGAGCACCCGCGCGCGTCCCGAGCGTCCGGAGCTGTAGCAGCAGCTCATCCAGCAGCTGCTGCAGCAGCCACCACCGCGCTACAAGCCTTAGCGCCCGGCCGCCAGCGCGGCTCGCACCCGCTCCCCGGGTGCGCACGGATCATGGAGAAGACAACCCAGAGCGCAGATATCAGCGGCGGGGCGGGCAGCAATAGCAGCAGTCGAAGCAGCAGCCGTGCCACCTCGGCTGGCTCCTCGCCCTCCTGTTCCCTGGCGAGCAGGGGGGTCTCCAGCCGGTCATTGGCGACTGGACTTGGCGGCGGAGGGAGCCGCAGCAGTCCGGGCTCGGTGGCAGCTAGCCCGTCCGGTGGAGGGGGCCGCAGGAGGGAGCCGGCACTCGAGGGCGTGCTCAGCAAATACACCAACCTCCTCCAGGGCTGGCAGAACAGGTAACGCGCCCGCTACCCGCGCCACCGCGCGCCCCTTCTTGCGTGTCACGGTGTGTGTGTGTGTATGTGTGTGTGTGCGCGCGCGCGGGCTCGATGGTGCCATTCGCAAATGGGGTGCTACCTCCGTGCCAGGCTTTTATTTGTCCCTGCTCCCCTTCAAGATGATGTGCCAAGCATGGGGTGCGCTGTGACCTACTGGGGACCAAACTGCAGTGACAGAAGGAGAGGCTAGAGCCTTGTTTTTGTGGGTTCCCCCCCCCTTTATTGGCACCTGCCGGCAATGAAGTGACAGAGGAACATGTTGGTCCCCTTGTTCCTTGCCTGCCAGCGGTTTCCCTTTGTGCCCGGCTGCAAAAGCACTAACACGTCTGGTCTGTCCAAAGCAATTCTTGTCACAAAATTGTTCACTTTAAACTTTGTTGATTAAAATAAGAACAAGAATAACAAAATCCCTGCACTTGTCATCCTCGGCACCCCCTAGTGCACATGCAGTAACCACTCTCTAGTTGACTAATGGGAACCCCCAGTCTCTGCAAAGCAAGTTTAGTGGGTCTTGTGTTTATGTCACTGTCTTTTAAAACATTCTCTCCTCTTTTGGAAAGGGTAGTTTGTATTGTTATTATTATATTGTTTTAGTAATTCTCCCACTTGGTGCTTTTAGAAGTTTTCTGCTCACTCTCTTAGAATTGGGAGTGTGTACTTGGGAAGATGAGGATAATAAGGCTCTCGAACACACTTGGGGTGGTGGCAGTGTATGTACTGTTATAATGAGGAAGACTTGAAAAAAATAGGTGTGCTCTACTTGCTCTTTAAGGAGCTCTGGTAGCGTAGTGGTTACGAATCGGGCTGTGAACCGCAAGGTCAGCAGTTTGAAACTACCAGCGGTTCCGGGGGAGAAAGTTGAGGCTTTCTGCTCCCGTAAAGATTTACAGCCTCGGAAACCCTGTACAGGGTCGCTATAAGTCGGAAGCGACTCCACGGCAAACAACAATAACAACTTGCTCTTTAGAATTTTTAACTGTGTTTTCCAAAAACAAGCCAGAGGAGAATATGAAATACCTGTGCAATCAAACAGAAGTTTTTTGAAAGGGGGTCTTTTGTTCTACCTTTAATATTACTAGGCTTGGAGAGCTCATAGGTGCTGTGGTATTTGAATCACTCTCTTGGGTTCTTGGTTATTTCTGTTGGTTAAACTAGATAATTACTTGGTTACATCTTTGTAGCTTGTTCAGATTGAAAATGTTGGACAGATACTATGCATGAATCACCACTAAGAAGATGAAGGTTTCAAAAGCATGGGAGCTAGGTTGTTTCTATATTGATACAGAACTTTTTGAGTCCCCTGGGTTTCCTTGGAAATATGTTACTATGTTAATTGAAGTTACACTTTAACTTTCGAATCCTTTTATTTCTCAGAATAATCTGTGTTCACTCTTGCATCTCTCTTTTTACCCTTTCAATTCTTGAAAGCTAAAAAAGAACAGGTAGAGTGCAAAGGATAAGAGATATAAGCAAATCTGATTTTAGTTCTTGGTAATTGCATCTTGTTAATGGCACCTCAGGGTCCCTTGTCAGTAACAATATATTATTTATGTATTGAGTGATCACTTTTAATACTTTTTTCCAGGTAGTTTATGATGCTAATAGAGCATTTATTTACCCTGGATTGCAGTTATTTTATTTGCTTGAGGACAGTATTTTACCTGCAGCATATATTAAAGGATTTGTCCTTTGGAGTGGATTTAGAAGGAATTGGAGTAACTCATACTTCTGTATAACTTTAAATTCACTGGGGTGTTTAGAATGGAGGCAAGGTTGAGAATAGGCAAAATAATAATAATCGCAGTCATCCGATGTGATTCCAGACTGAATAGACAGGATGTGTTATTATGTACACTACTGAGCATGCTGAAGTGAAAGCTCATCTTTATTGTTTGTTTATTTCTGGCAATGTCTGTTCTTATTACAACAGACTCGCTGTTTTCCAACTCTACTATTACCAGCATTGTCTTTTTCTGATGGCTAATGCTTCAGCTTCATGACTTATGTTTCCCACATCATGCTCCCTGAATGATAGCTGAGGGTCCATTAGTGATGTGGAAAAGATGGATGATGATTTTGTGATTGTACACTTTCCCTTCTCAAGGGGTCTTATGCCAGGGTAAGTCAAACGTTTTGCTACAAAATCATGGAACCCTTTAGTAGACAAAAATATCAAAATGCGAAGCTGTTGTTTCTTGACATATCTTCCATCTAGGTCTATACACTTCTGAAGGTGGTGTTTCCATCTCGCTTACCTTTCCTTAAGGAGCTCTGGTAGCGTTACAAATGGGTCCGTTATAATGAGGAAGATTTGAAAAAAGTAGGTGTGCTACTTGCTCTTTAGAATTTTTAACTGTATTTTTCAAAAAGAAGCCAGAGGAGGATATGAAGTACCTGTGCAATCAAACAGAAGTTTTTATGAAAGTGGTTACAAATTGGTCTGTTAACCTCAGGATCATCAGTTTGAAACTACCAGCTGCTCCGCGGGAGAAAGATGAGGCTTTCTGCTCTCATAAAGATTTACAGCCTCAGAAACCCTGTACAGGGTCACTATGAGTCAGAACTGACTCCACGGCACATAACAACAACAACCTTTCCCTGGAGAATTCTTCATTTTTGATTTACACCAGGCAAAACCAACAGTATTGGCATTCTCAAGGGACTCCAGCCATGTTCCTTTTGAATGTTCTTTGTGCTTTGGGAACCAAAAGCAGTCTGAAGGGGCAAATCAGTGCTCTAGGGTAGATAGAATGGTTTCCTTATGAAATTCTTACAGGACAGCCCTTGCTGCCTTCCATGAATGAGCAGGCAAATTATGATAGGCAAAAAAACAAAACAAAACAAAAAAAACTCTTCATTGCAACTTCCTTGATCATCCTTAATCTTATTCTAACCATCATACTTTTATATTTTCTTAAAACTTCTTCACAGTAAGACGTTGTGAGTGTCCTTCAAGAAAATGTATCAAGATATTCTTTTGTATTTCCAAAAAACAGTCACTATAACGTTCCGAGTTGACCTCTCAGCCTTAAATTTATCTGCTCAGCAGATCCCCTTGGAAACCATTGTTTTGATTGGACATATTTTTTTTGAAGGCACCCTAACAAAACTAAATGTGATACTGAGAGAAGTTGTCTACAACCATCCACCGATTGTAAAGACATGTTTAAACACGTCTTGTTTGGAATTAACCCATTCTTATGTGGAGTAGGATCCTTGTTGTAGTTAAGTTCCGTTGAATCAATTCTGACACATAACGACCCTGTATAGGTTTTGAGGAGCTAGTGGTTTTGAACCACCAGCCTGGTGGTTCAAACCAACCTTGAGAACAAGTGCTTATCTTACAGTGTCACACCAGGACTCCTAGTAGCAATATTTTTTGACTCACTGTCTTAGTTATCTAGCACTACTACAACAGAAATACCACAAATTGATGGCTTTAACAACCTAAAATGTATTCTCTTACCGATTAAAAGGCTAGAAGTCCAAATTCACAGTGCTAACTTTAGGGGAATGCTTCTCTTTGTCAGTTCCAGAGAAAAATCCTTGTCTCATTTCGGCATATGTAGCCCCAGCATTCCTTGGAGATCTTCATGCCTGTTGGCATCAATCTCCCTCTGAATCAAGAAGAGGGACACCAATTCCAAAGGATACACTCCACTCCAGCTTTTCTTTGTTGGTAGTAGTAGGTGTCCTGTCCCACCCCCGCCCCCACCTACCTACCTTCCCTCACTTGTCTCTCCTTTTATCTCTTGTGAGATAAAAAATGTTTACATGCTACACCCCTGGGGAACTACCTTATCAGGGTCATGATGGGATTAAGGGTATTGGACTCTTGGTGTGGTGCTGTAGGATATTCATTGGACTGTGAACCCTAAGGTTGGCAGTTCAAACCCACAAGCTGTGTCTTAGAAATGCTATACAGGGCCGCTATGAGTCAGAAATTACTCAAAGGAACTTAACAACAACATCCCACCCATAATTTTTTTGTTGGTTTGTCTCATCCGATCATATCATGGGGAAATCCTCATGCCAAACCACCAAGAATGATGGCTTAGCCAGGCTTACACATATTTTACTGGGACACAGCACAATTCAATCCATGACACTTACCCTCATAAAAGGTCAGTGGGTCAGTGACTGGAGAAGAATGATGACCCACTGCAGTGACTGAGAGAGAAAATTTGGATGTGTGTTAATTTATTCACGAATTGTTATTGTTAAGTGCTGTTGAATCAGTTCCTACTCATAGTGACCCTATATAGGGTTTTTGAAGAGCGACTGATAAACTTGAACCTCCGACCTTGCAGCCCAGTGCATTAACCCACAGCGCCACACTAGAATTCCTGTTCTTGAGTACATTCAGTGATTATTCTATTGAGCACTTATGCAGTCTTCACCTGAAAGGTCACTGCCTTGAATTGGAGCAGTTCTACTTTGCATACAAGGGATAGTCCGGAGTCAGAATCTAGTTGAGGGCAACAAACAACAACAAACCAAACCTATTACTCTAGAGTTAGTTGCCACTCATAGTGACCAGATGGGATGGACTTAGAACGACTCCATAGGGTTGTTGAGAGACTAAACCTTTACAACCTCATCTTTTTTCCATGTCACCAATGGGTGGGTCCCAACTGCCAGCCTTTAAGGTACCTGCTAAGCACTTAACTACTGCACCACCAGAGGGCTCCTTAACAACAACAGTTTCCCAGAGGAGTCCTTGGGTGCTGCAAATGGTTAAGTACTTGACTACTAGCTGCAAGACTGGCTGTTAGAACACAGTCACAGATGCCTCAGGAGACAAACCTGGTAATCTGCTTCTGAAAGTTTACAGCCTTGAAAAATCCTATGAGCAGTTCTACTCTGACATAATATGGGGTTGCCTTGAGTTGAAGTTGACTTGACAGCAATTAGCAACCACAGTATTATGCATTAGATACAGTTCTAGGAGCTGGAGC